ATCTTACCATATTCAGCCATTGTGCCTTCTAAACCACAAAACAAGCAATGTATTTCCTAACCAACATACACCACAAGCCCTTACAAATCCTTTCCTATGATTCAAAATTTACCGCAATCACGCAGCTGATTACGTCATAATAGGGTTTCCATAACATACAACTGCTCAAGCTACCATAAATGAAACAACTTCGCAATAGTACAAGGAGCACCCTTAAATCTACTCTAAGTAATTTAGAATGGGAGAAAAAAAAAAAAAAAAAAAAAAAAAAAAAAAGAAGAAGAAGAAGAAGAAAAAATACTATGTGAAATTTTTTAATTAAATAGTGCAGAACGATTTTGTTGTTAATATGCAAAACACACTGCCCAAATCTAAGATGTCTCTTCGTTAAAGATTTTAAAAGAGAGACCAATTTAAGTAGCTTTATTCTAAATACAAGTTCATGTATTATTTTTGGTAAAAATATATTTTTAGGGTGGCCCTTGGTGAAAATTGGGGATTCGCCAGCAAGGCACAATTTCTAGATGCCCACTACACAAAACCAAAATAACAAGTCAAAGAATTACACAAACTCGGTGTCCATGTACACATTGATCTATTTTCACTTAAAAAAACATCGGAGACGTGCACAAACTCAGCATTGTGCACTCCCTTGACTTTGTCCATGTACACATCGATCCATTTTCACTTAAAAAAAATCAGGAGAATGATGACATCGTATAATGTTAAAACAAAGTTACTCATCACCAAAACTGGAAAAAAAAAAAAAAAAAAAAAAAAAAAAAAAATTGTAGCCAATCAAAGCTCAATAAACTGTATTTTAAATCACACAGTGAAATAACATAAAAAAGGAAACACATGGTATCACATAAGCACACTACAAAAAGGAAATATTGACTTTATTTAGAAATTTATTATTTAGAAATTTCCAGACTGAGGCACACATAATTCCTTTACTTATCTTTCTGGATCCTTAAATGTCACTGCGTGATTTACTGAGAAGTGAACGAAGCCATTATCAAAAAAGACAATCATACGACTTCCAACAGTATGATGTGATCATTGTTCCAGATAAAATATTCTGTTGAATTATATCCAACAAAATTTCTTTTCTTCCGTCCTCAACCATTGAAAAAAAAAAAAAAAAAAAAAAAAAAGTCCACTCTCTCGTTCTATACTACCAAACACCCAGTTTACCACCAGCAGCCATTTTACGGTACAAAGCACAAAATATGCAATGTACTTTCTAACTGACATCCAACAGAGAAAAGCCCTTAAAACATTTTCTCATCAGTCAAATTCACCGCAATCATGCAACCAATCACGTCATAATAGGGTTTCCACAACATTTAATAATTAGGTTATCATAAATGGAACGACAATTTGGTGATAAATGAAACAACAGCTTAGCAATAATCCAAGGGACACCCTAAAATATAGACTAACCATTTTTTCTTTAAACATTCAGCTGGTAAAAAGCAGGAGAAGGCTAAAAAAAATGCAAAAGCTCTGAAGATGAAAAAGGCAAAAAAAAAAAAAAAAAAAAAGTGTCTAACAAAGCAGTTGCAGAAACATTCAGTGAACATAGCTAAGCTAAGCAAGAATATATGTACGCAAAATGAAATTTATTTTGCACATGATTGTTATTGTTTTACAGTGAGGAAAGTGTTACGTCTTTCTCCCCCTCTCACATTTCCACAAGATGGGTTATTTTCTAAGCAATGTAATAAAATTGAGTTGTACAGGTATAATAATTAGATTTGCAAAAAGTCATGAAAAAGGCCATAAAAATATTTTGATAGATTATTTTAAAAGCCATGCTGAATCAATTGATATGCCAGAGACATCCAAAAATGTTCAAATGAAACTTTTATTCCTTTATTATGCTTGTAAAGACTGTTTAACCCTTTGACATGCACGATATTATTTTTATAAATTTTTTAACTAAAAACTCTAAAAATTGAATATTATGATCCTAGAGACAAATAATATATGAATTAAAAAAATCTACTCTTGCCCATTGCTTAATGGGTGCTGGTTGCACTGTGAAACCACCATGCGTCTAGGACTTCGAAACTTACCAACTTACCTAGGTAGTAGGGGAAAGTTCTGTGCGCATTTCCAATAAATGACGAAATTTATGATTTTTTTTTAAATGCATGTAAGAATTGCATAATATATATATTTTACATTATTTTACAAACTAAATCGCCAGAAAAAAATTAAAAAATAAACATTTATGTAATTTTTCTATAACAGTGGAAGTATAAGTACCTACATAATAAGGACATTTGGCTACATCGATTAAAAATCTCCGTAAAATAAGGATAAAAAAACACTCAGTTTTTAAAATTTTTTTTTTATTTACATGTATCTTCTTCTATGATGTTTCTTCGTTCTGCTACAAAATGTACACTGATTGGATCTAAATTTCACCAGTATATGTCCAGCGTTATTTAGTTTCTTTTCATCTGACACATGACATTTGTGGTGTTTTTATGTTAATGGGGGAGAGGTCTTGGTCTTTTCGGCTTTGGTACGGATCATTCGTTTCTCATTCATACTTATTTTATTCGTATTTTGTCTCAAAATATTCAGAAAATATTTTTAATTTAAATAAAACTTTACACAATTTCTATTTTTAATTACAGCAAAGTATATTTACATTAAATTTAAACCACAGGAAATAATTACAATACTGGCTTGGGGAGCAAGCGTGTTGAGGTCAGAGAAAAGTCTCTGGAAAAGAAAGACCTTTTTACTGGGCAGGTGCATCTATTGTTTAGTAATAAAATAACTCTGTGATTTCAAAACCCCTTATCTATATCCAGGTAAAAATAAACATTCCTATTTGAGAAGCAAGCAAACGCCATTGTGAAGAGCAGTGGTTTCAAGGCGCGACCACCGAGCCACTGGGGCAGTGGTCGCGCCCTGAAACCACAAAGCAAATGCCATACATATAGAGGGTTTTTTTTATGTATGCAGTTTAATTATTGTTGTTTTTTATTGTTTATGATAGAAATCATGATGTGCTATGAATAACTTGAAATTTAAAGTTGTTTATATCAATAAAAGGAAGTTATTTTGTCTCATTGAAAACGAATTTTAAAAGGCATCCGATTTGAAGTACTAAGACCTAAAACATGTATGATTCTGTAGTCATTTTGTGTTATTTAGAGGGCAAAGATCAGTAATCGATTGATTTTCGCTCAAAAATTTCTGAAGGAAGAGGAGAAAAAAATTCGAAAATTGGTGGTTTCAGGGCGCGATCGCCACACGTCAAAGGCTTAATACCACTTTAAGGAATAATTATAGTTGCTTTTCTTAAATTTTAAATTTGTGATTTTTGGTTAAAAGGTTTTGAAAAACATAGTTCTGAGAAATGGACAAGAATTAAGAATTCTTTTGTACACTTCATAATAATATACATGTATGTGCATGTTTGTGGTATAAAAGATTTTTAATAATTTAACATATATATTAGTTGCACTTTTATGTTAATAAAAAGTACCTTTTAATGATTCCATGCTTTTAAACCTCTTAACTGCCATAGGCATATATATAGGCCTTGCACAGCCGATGCGTTAATTGCCCTGGGCTTATATATATGCTCTTCTGAAATACAATTATTTGCTTTGCGCTGCTACCAGTAAAATTATTCGCAAAGCTTTGGAATGCAACACCACAATGACCTTGACAGAGTATGCGAAGGAGGATACTATTTCAAAGAGGGGGGAATTGGAGAGGGGGTCGTTTCTGAAACGGGGATAGTAATGACTGTGCGGTTATTGCTTGTGTTTATGTATGAGGTAAAATGTATTTTTTTTATTCTGTTTCTTCCATTTTTGTTTATTGTTTGTAGTAGGTGTCAGGAATAAAGAAAGATATAATGGATGTTTTAAACCCACTTATCTTTTTTGAGTTATTTTTAGATAAAATGCTCGTGCTTCATACTGTTACTAAACCTAAACATTTTGGATTGGATTATTCAATTATGGCAAAGCACACAAGGGTTATCTGCCTGAAGGGAGGGATGCCTTCGTGGAGGTCTTTGTAAGGGAAACTAACTCGTATACACGTTACACATGGAGAAAAGCACGAAAATGCCCATGCAGCCAGCCTGTTTGCTGGTTTCAAACCTTGGACCGAACTACTAGTGTTCAGTGTCTTTACCGCTCGGCTGCTGGTGGGCCTTTTAACCGTTTTGAAGACCAGTATATCGACCAACATCCTGCTATCTATTTTCTTTGGTCAAACAAAATTCCTTAACAGCATCCAAAAACTTTTAAAAATTATCTGAACTAAAAGCTGTATACTGGCATCTCCACATAAATTCACAAAGAGTCGACATCATCTCCTTCGTGCCGATATCCTCCGACGTTGGACCATACGCATTTCCTAACTAAAACAGGACACTTATAATGGCTACTAAGTAAACCTTCATTTGTACGCCAGTCAATCAATGCTCTTTTCCTCTTTCATTCCAAATCGTACAGAAACTTCAAATAAATCTTACCACATTCAGCTATTTTACCATCTAAACCACAAAACAAGCAATGTTCTTCCTTATGCAACTGGATTACATTATAATTGGATTTCCATAACATTCAACTACTCAGGTTACCATAAATGAAACAACAACTTGGGGATAATAAAAGGGCCACCCTTCAATGTACTCTAACTAAAATTATTAATGAGGTCAATACGTCAAAAAAAATTCATGTAGCAACCTACATATGTGCATAACATCCCCTCAAGTGTCTTTTCATTTCACTAAACGTTTTTTGCAAGTGTAGGTTCAGTGTGATCATCTCTTCTATGGAAATTTCGGTGTTTTAGCATAGTAGTGGATTGTACGCTACAGTTTTTGTTCTCTTAAAAAAAATTCTCAGACTCTCTTTTCTGCACCCTTTTTTTTTCCTTGTTATTTTTAGTATTTTGGTTACACAAATGCATGTTGCTATGTTTGCAATTCTGTGACTTTTTTTTAATTAAAACAGGTTTCTGTGTACATGGGGAGAACAAAAGCAGAAGGAGCTAAGAAGTATGCATGTGTGAATTGTTAAAGTAAGACATAAAGTTACTCAAATGCTTCTTTCCAAAATTCCATGAATTTGCGAATGCGCTCCAAAGTCAGTGGTGAGTTCAATATATTTTTGTGGGAGGTGCACACCATTAGAAATGTTGGCCTTAGAATTTTTGTCTTACATTTATATCCTCTCTGTGTTTTTTTTTTTTTTTCCCAGTTATTTATCAGGACAGAGAGTCACAAATAGCACCGTCAAAATATTCATCTAGAAGTCAAACAACAAAAATCAACGTTAGATTTGCAAATTTTCACAGGATTAGTTTCGATGGTACAGTCAAAAGTCGTTAATCCGGACTCGTCGGGACTTCGGCGATTCCGGATTATCGATTTTTCCGGATTATAAATCATCAGTTTAAATCTCGTAAGATGGCATGCAGAAATTCTAAAATTAAAAGTATGAAGCCGTAATTTATGAAATAAAGAACAATTATGATCTAAAGGGTATCAAAATTTGCAAAAAGAAAAAGCTTAATATTTATTTGTTTACTTTATTAAACATTTCTTTCAATGTAAGTTGTTTAAGTTTTGCTTCGTTTAATGTGATAATACTTTCTCTTTAATTCTATTAAACAGACATAATTTCTTGTTCAATTACAAAGTTCCGCTGTTCAAGTCCTACAATTGCTGTGTCGAGAATACTGACTAATTTGTCAATCGAAATTTTTTCGTTTTCAATAACCTCTGTCACTTTCTTCGCTATCGGAAGCGAATTATAATGACGAGGAACTTGTTTTAAATCATATCAAAGACGGAGCACATCGAGATGAAATACTACATTTGATAAGGAATTATAAGCCAAATAAAATAAAAACATCTGCCCTGAAGATAAGGATAGTGCTGACAGATCAACCTCCAATTCATTATGCGCACGCCGCGGCGTTCCCCCCACCGAGCAGCGTGAAATTGATAAACAGATTTCGGATTTCAAAACATACTTTCGTTTTAGATCCTTTACATATTAACAAATATCGGAAATTCTATTTGATATAATCGAAAATTTAAACTTACTTTTATAAAATTGCTCTTACAGTCTGCAAAAAATAATAAGCCGGATCCAATTCGAAAATTAAGGAACAACGCAATCATCAAAATTAACTGAAATAGATAATTATTTAGCTTATACGTCCATTATACATAAAACATGCGCACGCAAAAACGTATTCTGCAGTTGTGCACACTCATATGCGCAGTCGTAAAAGGTCTTACGCGCACGTGTAAATGCCTATGCGCATGTGTCAACGCGGCGCATGCGCAGAAAGTTTTTAGTTTTGAGGTCCGGATTATAGATCATTCCGAATTATGGGTGTCCGAATTAACGACTTTTGACTGTATTACCAAACCATCATCGTCAGCTGCCAAAGTGCAAATGAAGGAGATAAGATAAGAATGGCTGGACTGGAGTTAAGCGACTGGCACCCTCTATTGATGAAACGAAAACTAAAACATAATTTGCTTAAAGGTTGAAGGCAAAGATGGTTTGGAATTAGGGTCGTTAACTAGAATCGAAAGATTTTTTGGTACTTGCGTATTATCGCAACCAGGTTGGCGCGATTTGTAAGTTTGAGTAAAAAAGTATGAATAGAAAGAAAATGTACATTTATTGATTACAGATAATTTTTAATACAGTTTTTTATATTATTTTGTTTACCCTACTTACAGCAACCTTATGTTAATTTATTAAAGCGAGGTGTGCGTAGTTCGTAGATTTGTTCGTTGCCTACATTGTGCCATTCGTAGATTTTTTTTAAGTTAAAACATGTCGCTGTGTACATAGATTCTTGCCAAATATTTTTGGTTAGAAACTTTACTTTTCTGCTATCTAAATTTTTTGTTTTTGTTTCGGATTTTTAGCTTAAATCGTGTGTTCAAAACGTAGTTTTTGCACGTGCGAAAACTGCGTTTTTGGAGACATTTTAGGCTTAAAGTTCGAAATATAGACAAGAATCCATGTACACAGCGACATGTTTTAACTTAAAAAAAACATCTACGAATGGCACAATGTAGGCAATGAACAAATCTACGAACTACGCACACCTCGCTTTAATAAATTAACATAAGGTTGCCGTAAGTAGGGTCGCCAAATTTGGCGATTTATGCGAATTTTGGCCTGGTTGCATTAATACGTAAGTACCGATTTTTTTTAATGTGAAATGCTTCTAGAAAATTTAATTTATGAATTGAAGATGTTTCTTGAATAATTTTGGCTGTAGAAAAATTGAAAGTGTTATTTTTAGACCAACAATGCTGGGCAACAAAGGACTTCTGTGCTTCCTATTTTCTAACATATGCATCATATTCCTTAATGTGGAATTTTAAAGCTCTCTTAGTTTGACCGATGTAAATTAACAGGGCTGTGGAGTCGGAATCAGAGTTGGCCAGATTTTGGAGTAAAAGGAGTCGGAGCTGGAGTCGCTAAAAACAGGTCGACTCCGACTCCAGTTTTTGTTGGACAAATTAATAAATAAATATAAGGGAGGTGGATGGATGTGATATTTGCCATTAGTGATTAAACTGATTCATTTAGTTACAAATTTCACTGGTAAATTTAGGTAAGCAGCAATAGCAGCAAGAACTCCCAAAATTGATGCCATTCTTAGGAAGCGAACAGGAAAAGGAGCAATTATTGATCAAGCAACGCGGTAAGGAAGTACATATCTGATGATAAAGAAGTTGTTAGAATTAAGAACTTTTTTAGAAGATGTAGATAGCCCTAATGTTTCACTAACAGAAAGACTGTGGAATGATCTTGCAGAATTGGAAACTCTCATTTCTACACCTTATATAGTTATAAAAAAGCTGCAGTCTGAAGAATTGACAGGAGGCGAGAAGGGACGAATGTGATGTTTGTTCTTTCTGAAATGGAGGATTTATTGCAGAAGGAATTATTTCTTCAATGAAGAAAAGAGAAACTAGTTTGAGAGGAATGAGGTCTTGCTGTGTTCAATATATGTAGATCCGAAACACTGAATTTTCTTGGATGACAAACAAATTTAAAAGGGGGAAAAAAAAATCTATGAACTTTCATTAAGAATGAAATTATTCTCAGAACAATTAGATAATTCAAATCAGCGCAGTCAAACTGCAGACATTGCATTTGAGTCTCTATCATCCTCTTCCAGTGATGAATTAGATTTTGAGAAATATTTTTGGATAATATTCTAACGCAAAGCGAATGAAAATAAAGAACCAAGAGCCTTTAGATATAAAAATGAAAAAATACAATCAAGATTTCTACATGGCCTTTGAAGAAATAGAGAAATATGATTGTGCTTGCAAGACACCTCTTTTAGAATTTATAAAAATGTATCCTGGAAAGTTAAAAGAAGTAGCTCTAACACTAACAGCTCTTCCTCCTACTCAAGTGTGTGTGGAAACACTCTTCTCTCTGAAGTTTATCAAATCGGATCTATGGCCCTCCAACAAAGAAGAAGCTATAGCTCTTGCCGAAGCTATAGTTTTTCTTAGAAATAACTAATGTCAGTTTTTCCATTTCAGAATAAATGCTAATTAATATAAATAATTTGCTATGCCATCAGTTTTTTTTTTTTTTCCTGTAGCATCTATTACTTCTTTTATCTTAAAAAATAAAGTTGTAACCCATGTGTTTACATATATATATATATATATGAGGGAGTTGAGTCGGAGTCTTTAAAATTCCAGGAGTTAGAGTCGGAGTCGGTCATTTTCCCTACCGACTCCACAGCCCTGTATATTAGACTACGCTGGCAAGGAATCCTGTAAAATACCCAAGGAATTCATATTCGGAATGGGGTCTTTGAGTATGGAACTCGGAATTGTATTGATTAGAGAATAAACGACCCGAAAGTAAGATTTCTGTAAAATGCATGCAATTTTATAGCTAATTGATGCAAAGAAAGGAAAGACTGGAGAATTCTTATTATCTCCTAAAACAAGAGTGTGCCTTTTAGTGCGCTGAGATGAAAATTTTTTTAACTGCTTGATTGGTAATGTTAGCTGAAAAGCCCTTGTCAATAGGCTTTTAGATAATTTTGTTCTTGATCAAGAGCCAATTTGGAGGAGCAAACCTGAAGTGCACAGAAAGCATAGGAATAAAATGAAGGTAACTTTTATTATTTAGTCTAGTTAATAGTAATAGCCGCTAGATGTCAGTTGTCTTCCGTTTTGCATGGTAACCGTCACATGTTTAAAATGGCTACTCCGCAGCAGAAGAGCAGAAGTCATTTTGTGTTCTCGAGTTTGCAAAGTGCAATGCAGTGATTACAGTAAAGACGTTTCAAGTTGAGCTACCAAAGTGATCCTCCGAATGGGTGGAACATTGGCAGATGGTATCGACAGTTTATAAATACAAGATGTGTATGTAAAGGAAAGAGTCCTGGCCGCCCTTATGTTCTGGATGAAAATGTTGCACAAATTCAAACTGCTTTCCAACATAGTCCTTCAAAATCAACTTGTTGCAGTTACAACTGCCTACAGCAACAATTTACCGTGTTTTGAGAGGTTGGTTGGTTATGAAGCCGTACAAGTTACGTTTGTTACAGGCTCTGCGTTCTGATGGCAAACGTGTGGCATTTTGTAACGAGATTATTGATGCTATTGACAATGATAACACTTTCGCACAACGCATCGTGTTCAGTGATGAAGCGACTTTTCATGTTAGTGGCCATGTAAAGAAACACAATGTTTGAATTTGGGGTCTACAGAAACCACATGCAGCCGTTGAGCATGTACGAGATTCGCCCAAAATCAATGTGTTTTGTTCGATATCCCGATCATCTGTTTACGGCCCATTCTTCTTTGATGGAAACACGGCTAACGGTCAGCAGTATCTCCATTTTTCAACAAAACGGGGCACCCCCTCACTGGTGTCGCCAAGTGTGGGATTATCTCAATGAAACTCTACCGAACCATTAGATTGGTCGTCAAGGATCTGGCAACTTAGCATGTCTCAGCTGGCCTCCACGGTGACCGGATTTTACACCCTGTGACTTCTTTCTGTGAGGTTTCATTAAAGACAACGTTTATGTACCACCACATCGCGGTGCGCAATGAACTGGAAGTTGATCTGTCA